GCAGCCTGCCAGATGAGAATCTGGGCCACTGGTTGCACTGCCCCAGCTGGCAGCCCAGGGCTGGCTCGCCCCTCTCTCTGCCCAGCCTCCCTTTTGCTCATCACCTTCTCCTTGGAGAAGGCCTCTCAAAGCTGCTGTCGCAGCTGAGGGCCTGCCCTCCTTGTCCCCAGGCCCTGGTCTGCCCTGGCCCCTCCTCTCACTGAGCCTGGGCACCTCCTTCCATCTCTCGGTAGCCATACCTATGAGCCACTGCGGCAGGGTACCCGGGAGGACAGCACAGCACTGGTCAGGGCAGCGAGAGGCGAGAGGTGGCAGGTGGCAGCGGAATCGAGGCAGCTCCGCCCTCAACACCCCTGAGAGGTGGCTTCCCCAGGAGACCCTTGATTCCTGGGAGGAAGGGGGGAACAGCAGCGCTGGTCAGACAGGCAGCTCAGGGGTCCTTTCTCCAGCCTCCTGCTGCTGAGTCCACCAGTGAGGACCCCTACATGGTCCCGTGCCAAAGATGGTAGGTAGGTCACTGGCCCAACACCCTGATGTGGTGGCAGGGTCAAGGATGTCCTAGTAAATGGCCAGTTGACTTGGCCCAGGATGGAAGGGAGAGGCTGTGACCCAGGGTCAGCATGGGTGGGGGTGGGGAATCTGGACCATAGGTCACCAAAATCCAGTTGCCAAGACCCAAGCCCCCTGGCCCTCGGTGGGACCACTCCCTGGTGTCCGTGGTGGCTCAGTGTCAGAGGTGACACTGCTTCTGCTCGTTGGGCTGGTCCCCTGAGGCCACCATCATGGGCCTGTTCCCTTCACCCACCCCTCAAATGTGCCTGTTCCCCAGGCCTTGGCACCCTCCCCTCCATCTGCTCTCCCGGGCAAGCTCCCCCACTCTGAAGCTGGGCTGTGTGCACACATCCCGGGCTCTCCCCCACCCAGAGCTCCAGAACGCTGGGCCCATCTGCCTCCACCAGGGCCTCTCCACCAGGGGACCCCACAGGCACCCCAGATTCGACATGGCCACCCGTGGGCCTCCCATCCGCACCCCCATTCCCTGCCTCTGAGAATGGCAGCAGCAGCCTCCCGCTCCTGAGCTAGAATTAGGAGTCACCCAACGCACAGTCATCCTCAACACCTCCCTCTCACCCCCCACAAGGGATTGGTCATCAGCTCCTGTGGATTTCACCCGCAGGAGGGATCCACAGTGCGCCCTCCCAGCTGCCCCCGCTGGCAGTGTCTCTGATTCTGACAGCTGTGCCCCCAGCCCCCCGGCCCATCCCCGCACTCCCCTTCACCAGAGACCTTTCTAAGACAGTCTGGGTTATGGCCCCGTGCTCAGCGTCCGTCTGGGACTCCTGGAGCCCTCAGGGCCGTGTGTCTTGGCATATGACCCCTTCCTGTAGCCCACAAGGTCCTGCCTGCCCCAGCCTTGCCTCCATATCTTGTCCATCCCACACTGCCCCGGCTCTTGCCTTTCCCCTCACCCAGCAAGCTGGCCCTGCCCTCTCTGATCAGAATACTCCATTTTCTCCCTGGAGCACCTCCTCTGAGAAGTCTTCCTGCCTTGCTCCTTCATTAATAAATGGTACCCTCCCCAGCCCCTCCCCAGTTTCCATGGCACTGTGCTAGAACCGCCTGCCTTCCATGTCGGACTCCTCCCCCTAGCTGTCGAGTGTCTCAAGGACACGGACTGCTCTTTCCCACCTCAGTGTGCCCAGTGGGGGGTGTGGAGTTGGCACCAGACACATCTGTGGGTGCGAGGGCAGATGGGATGAAGGGAGAGAGAGAGAGCCTAGCACGGCACCGCTGGCCCCAAGGCCCTGTTCCTGAGTGCCTCAGCCACCTCCCCCAGGCGCCTTCTCCCTGTCAACCTCTCCCACCATGCTTCCCCTCCTACCTGCTGCCCTCAGCACGGTGGGGAGCCCGGGGTGCCTGGAAGGAGCGGCCTCAGCGTGCTCCAGGCCCGCGCTCTCTGGGGAGCAGGCACAGTGGGCCGTGGCCCTGGGCCGTGTCCTCCACCGCAGCGCCGAGAGCAGCATCTCTGATTTCAATGCGGGCCTCAGTGCTTCAGTGAAAGCCGGCATGGGAAGTTGCTAATAATGGCACTAAAATAAAATATGCTACATCTGTTATGGGTAGCAGAACAAAATTAGCTGCTCACACCTCTGACATCCAAGATGTCTTAACTTAAAATACTCCTTGGCTTACTTTACATCATTTACTGATTATATTTAAAAGAAATACAATTTTGCAATTACTGTTCTTTCCAGTGTGATATCTATGCATCATTTTCCTTTTATGTTTATATATTTCTCCTTCATTAGTGCAGTCTGAAGGGTGATTAGGATTCTTCAAACATTTTACAGAGGTTAAACGTTGATTAAGATTTAATTATTACTGTAAATAGCTTGCAATGACATATGGTGTAAAAGCCTGACATATGTGCATTTGAATAAATGAAGTGCTATTTCCCAGGATGCCTCAGTAGCTGTTTAACAGCTTTCCCGAAGGGTTATGTTACACCTCATGGTAAGATTGCTGGGATGTTATATTTTGTTGGTTTTTGCAGCTGAAAGCTAAGAACAGTTTTCCAGTTTTTTAAAAACATTGAATATTTTAAATACCTAAATTGTTTTGCACAAATTTTTGCTAATTTGTCTAACTAGGTTAAACATTTTCAAAAGCATTTAGATTTTTAAGCGTGGGCGCTGTGCATTGTGTCAGTGGGAGCATGGGGACGAGGGGAACTGGCGGGGCGGAGGGGCCTCGGGGGCTGGGAGGGGTGGGGAGGGGAAGGTGGTCTGAGGAGAAGGGCTGGGGACGAGGCCTGGACCCCGAGCCCACCCGTGTCTGGTTGGCTGTCTCCAGGCACCAGAGCCAGGGACCACGTGGGGAGGGGCCGCTTCTCCAGGAGCCCCACCAAGCCCACCAGCTCCGGTCCTCACCAAACAGCATCTTGTCTGGACTTTGCCACACGCAGCCTGGCTTCGACTGAGCTCTCCGAAGGCCAGGCCTCGCTGTGCTACCTTCTGCCCACTTCCCAAGGGTGGCCGTGTCTTGGCATATGGCAGGTGCCCAAGACCAAGTTCAACTGAGCTGAACTACAAGGGCTTCGGTGACTGCGCAGAGCTCCCTAGGGAGCCCCTCCATCCGGGCGCACTTCAGGCTGGGAGCTCAGGCATCCCTGCGGGCTCGCTCCCTACATCTGCAAAGCAACACCTGAGTTGCTGGGGCATCTCCAGCGGGAACCCCAGCCTCCTAGTGCCTGACGCCTTTTTTCTTCCCACCCAATTATCCAGCACTTAGGGAGCACCTGCTGTGTACCAGCACTGTGCTAGGTTTTGAGGATGCAGGGAGCACACCCTGCATGTTCACTGCCCCCAGGGGCTGCCATCTAACAAGGAGAGATGGAGGACAAAGGACCCCAGTGGCCAGACAGGGCCACTCCAGCCTGGATACAGAAAGGTGTCAAAAGCCGAGGCACAAAGCTGAACTGAAGACAGAAAATGAGATGGGGCAGAGGTGGAAGTGAGAGGGGGGGTCTCTGGAACAGACTTCAGTGGGGGGGCCAGGAAGGAATAAACAAGTTGAGTCTGCGGAACCAAAGCAGCTTCGTGGGCCCCCTGTCTCCAGTACGGGGGAAGAGGGGCAAGTGTCCGGACTTGGCCAAGGCCCTGAGCCACGTGATAGAGCGGAGAGGTGTGGCCAGACTTGCGGTTGAGGGGATTGGCACTGGCTGTGGTAGGGGACGGACTTCAGGGAGGAGATCCTGCGAGGAAAGTAGGAAGCAGGAGGCAAGGCAGCTCCGGGGTCTCTGGCCAGAGCAGCACTGCAGGGAGTGCCATTCCTGAAGTCGGGGCCTGGGGAGATGACGCATTCACTTCCATTTTCAGACAGGTTGAGTTCAAGGGCCTGGGAGAAGGTCATAGGCAGGTCTAGCAGGCAGTCAGCAGTGGGTCTGAGGTGCGAGGGAGAATGGTGGCTGGGGATGCCTCAGACGGGGGACCCCAAGGACTCAGAGAGGCATCCAGGGGATGTTGTGGGATGGGGGATGGCAGTGACCTCGGAGAGAAAGATTTTGGTGGCGTATGGTGGGAACAGAAGCCAGATTTGCTGCAGGATGAAAAGTCAGTGGGAGGTGAGGAGGCCGATGGTTCTCTAAAGAAATACGGGCCCGGGGAGGAGAGAGAGCAGCAGGAGCTGGAGCAGGGTTCTCAGTGTGTGTGTGGCTGCGCTGGGAGGCAGGAGGCGGCCGTGGTGGGAAGGAGATGGGCCAGGCCCACATGGGCTCCCTGAGTGCGCAGAGTGGGTAGGACCAAGTGGGCAGGTGCCTCTGCAGGGGAGGAACAGCTGCTGGGGGCAGACACGGGTCTGCTGTGGGTTTGAGGAGGGGCCGTGGAGGGCACCTTCCCCGGCCCGATGCCTTCTGTTTTTTCCCTGAAGCTCCCTGGCTCAGGATGAGTGGGGTGGCTGAGAAGAGCAGAGAAGGTTCTCAGGTGGCTTAGGAACATGGGGGTGCCAGCTGCTGTGAGGGTCCATTTTGAGTGGTGTCCACGGTGGTCAGGTTCAAGTGTGGAGATGCTTCCACCGTTCAGGGCTGGAGGGACGGCTCCTGGAGGCTGGGCTGGAGGGGAGGATGTGAAGGCTGGGAGGTAGGGAGTCTGGGATCTCAGATCTCAGTGGACCTGGATCTCATGAATCCACCATGCACCCTGCCAGACAGGAGCAGGGTGCTAAAAGTTTAGGGTACTGTAGGGTCCAAGAGGGGTTCAATGTAAGGAGCCTGGGTGGCATCCAGGCCCGGGGAGTGGCCCAGGGTGGGGGACAAGGTGGTAGGAGATGAGGGGTTTGCAGAGCTCAGAGGCCAGTGTGTGGGATAATCAGCCACAGGGACACACTGTCAGAGCACGTGAGCCCCAGGGTGGGAGAGGAGAAGGCAGTCGCCCTGACTGCTGTCCCCAGCTTCCCCGGTTCCCTTCCCACTCCCGTCACTTCTGTCTGTTCTCTCTCCTCAGATTGAGACGTCCCAACTAGAGCCTGAGATCGCCCGCGCCACGAGCAGCCAGACAGTGGTGTACAACAAGGGGCTGTGAGTGGTGCCTGCCGGCCTGGGGACTGAGTGTGGTCCAGGCCAGGGAGGTGGGGGCCGCGCCTGCAGGGAGGGCCTGGACCCCCGGCGGTGCACTGAAGCCACAGTGTAGGGAGACTAATCCATTCACATATTAACTTAGGGGAGAGGAATCCTGACACATGTCCTATACAGAAGAATCAAGTGCATTTCTGGGCCTTAAGTGGGGTTGCTAAAACTCCATTCAGCACAATATCTGTGAAGCTGAAAAACTGTCACGTGCCATGGGGTAGATTTAGGATCCTTTTATACTTTGGTTTCTTTTTTATTTTTCTTTTGTATCAGAATCAAGTCTGAGCCTTGGTTGCAACTGACCAGAGTGGCAGATGCACAGGTGGTAGGAGGCGGAGTGGGCCTGGGAGCGGGGTTCACTTGCTAGCTGGTGTGGTAGGTGTAGGATATGACAGTGCCTGGGCGGGATGGTTCTCTGTGCTGGAGTAGGGAGGGGAAGGTGGTGGTCTGCACCCCACAGGATGAACTAGCCATAGTTGAGGTCCTCAGGAAATGGCCCAGAGAATCAAGGAGCCCTGGAGGCCTCTGGGAAATTCCATGGGCAGTTGACTGTGAATGTGGCCAGCCCCATGCCTGCAACAGCTGCAGAACAAGTTCCTTCGAGTGAAGCCCAGTGACAGTGGGGCTGGCCGGGGTCACCCTCTGTAGAACTCCGAAGACTCCTGAGATGTCCCCAGATCCAGGCAGGGAGCACCCAAGAAGGAGTAATGCCTGGCAGGACCTGTGGGCCTGCCCTTGGTCTCGGTGGGAAAAGCCTTTTTCCAGGCACCTGGCTGCTGGAGGCTGGGCGTTGGGGCTGAGACTGCCTGCCATATTGTACCCCTTCCAAGAGGGTCTCATGCTTGGCAGTGCCAGGGCTGGACCTCTAGGAACCTGTCTGAGAGGCAGCACCAACCAGGAGCAGCAGACCCGGGGTCTAGCAGACTGTGGGACCTTAGACAAGTTCTGTTCTTCTGGGAGCCTCTACTCTGGAACTGCAGGCCTGGATCCAGGGGTTCCCATCAGCTCTTGCAGCTGGACCTCACCTTTGCCTGCCCTGCCCGGATGCTGGCCATCCCAGCACACCTTCAGTGCAGACACCGGACACCCTGGGAAAGCTGCTCCATCCTTCAGTGGGGAAACGGTAGGCCCCTTTGGACATGGCCAGAAGTTGGCCTCAGATCCTGTGACCCCACGTCCCAGGAGTACTTGACCTTCATCAAACACTTTGCAGTGTGGAAGAAGAGGTAGCCTGGGCCATACCTGCAAACCGCCTCTTACCCCTGCGGGCTCAGAGGCCCCCAGTCCAGCTCCCATCTCCTTCCCATCTGCAGGCCAGGGTCAGGGTGAGCAGTGTGAGCAGTGTGACCCTCATCTGAAAGGCACCAATGAGGGGAGGCATTGGCCTTGGCGCACTCCTATCTTGCCTCCAATTGGAAGGAAGGCTTTGACGTGCAGCCCCTGGGCCTCCCTCCCCTGGTGATGCCGCAGTGGGCAGGATCTGGGCCATGGAAAGCCTGTGCAGGGCAGCAAGGGCATGGCCACGGAGCCGCTCAACATCTTAGGGCTGGAGGAGTTGTGACGTGGGTCGGCCACGGTGTTGACACCATGCACCCACTGGAAGCCCTGGGGCCTTTGTCTCTCAGCCAGCTCCTGTGCCGGCCAGCTGGCTCTGCTGGGTGCTGCCCTGCGAGCCCACCCCTCTCCTCAAGGCCCCCCCCCCCAACTCATCAAGAAGGGGAGAAAGCATAGAACAGCATGGGGGACAAAGCAGCCAGGCTGAGGGGGTGCAGCATGAGAGGGGTGGGTCATTTTGAGCCAGTCCCACCATAATGTGAGTGCCCGTGACTGCTGGGCAGTGCTGTTCTCCTGGCCTGGACTGCAGGCTGGCCATGTCTGGGGCCTCTGTGGCAAAGCTTAGTTCAGGCTCACCCTGCCCACATCTGTCATAGGGTCTTGTTCTTGTGCACTTTATCTTGGGACCAAAACTGCCCGCCCCATCCCTACCCTGCCCCCTCCAGAGCCCTCGAAGAGATGGGGCCTGTCCTGCTCCCCTCTGTGCTGGCTGCTCCACCCACCCCCCCGTGTGGCTGCAGAATCTGCTATCCTTGTTGCTTTGTCTCTGGTTGACTTCCCTCAGGCTCCCAAATGCAATTCCAAGTGGACTAAGGGGGTTGCTCCACAGGGAGAGGGGGGTGCAGCGGCAAGGGGTGGGGGTGGTGACAGAGGGACAGCAGGCCCGGCTGCCGAGCCCTGACCTGGCTTTGGAAGACCCCACGGAGGGGAACTTTGAGCCAACACCCACACCCGCTCCACTGAGGCCAAAGGAGAGAGGACTGGGGGCAGGTTGGCTCATGGGAAGAGACTGGACCCACAGTCAGGGGGTGCCGGCCTGGCTGTGCCAGAGCACAGGGCACCCCTGCAACTGTTCTGCAGCCCCGGAGTCCCTGCCTGACCCCACTCTGGTCACTGGAAACATTCCCTCAGCCTCCGGATGCCTCTCCCGTTCTTGAGGGCAGTCGGAGGTACAGGACGGAAGCCCACGGTGTCCAGATGGCTGCCGAGTCAAGATGGCCACCAGGCCCCTTCCCACTTCCTGAGTGGGAGCCAGCTTGTTTCCTGGGCTCTCCTGACCTGGGAGCAGGGAGGGGCTCCAGAGGAGGAAGAAGGGTCCATGGACAGAGCCACGGTGGTCCTCCAGCCTGGGGCTGGTGGGAGTGAGGCCCCGGCCACACCCAGGGGACTTTGCAGTGTCTTTTTAACCTTCTCAGAAAATCTCTTCATTGTGTGAACTATGAAGTACTAATGAGCTGTGGGCAATAAATGATGGATTGGAAGCACCAGGTGTGGCTCTGTGACTTGTGGGTGGGAGTGGGAGGAAAAGCAAAGGACTGCCTGAGGGCTTGGGGGGAGAGCGGCTCCAGGGCGGGTCAGGCCAGCTGGGGTGCCCAGAGGAAGGGCAGAGAGGCGGGTGAGGCCGTGTGAGGGCAGCAGGCTGGGCAGAGGGAGGCCCCTTTCCCGAGGAACCTGAGTGAATAAGGAATTGTAGTAGATTCCCACGTGGCTTATCTCCAGTGGGAGGGGCTGCTGCTGACCCCTGGGGCCGGCAGTGAAGGTTTGGGCCAAGCAGAAAGTGCTGTGTGCAGCAGGCATGGCACCAGCCCTGGGAATGTTGCTGCACCCTAGCTCCGGGATGGTCCCCGTGGGGGCGAGGACCCCACCACCTCCTGATTGTCCTGGCTCCTTCTCTTCCCAGCAGGCCCCAGAGTTCCCAGGGAGGGAGGGAGGGAGGTGTGACCTCTTCTCTGGGTCCTCCAAGTGTCTTTCCAGGCCTGCAGGAGTGTATATAGCAGAGAAGAGCTGTCGGGGTCGGGCAAGCCCGGTTCTGGCCCCAGCCAGCCCCCTCCTTTATCCACCCATGTCTGTTGAGTGACTGCTCTGTGCTGGGCACTTCTCCAGCCGAGCCTCAGTGCCCTGCTTTGCAGAATGTCAACCACAGCATCCCCACTGGGCTGCTGTGAAGATGGGGAAGGCGCCAGACCCTTCTCTCTAACCTCCCAGGTGTGTGTGGGGTGGGGTGGGGGGAGTGCTGGGCTGCCCTAGGAGAGTGGGAGGAGGGAGAGGGTGGGGGAGGGGTCTGTTCTCAAAGTGCTTCCTCTAGGTCAGGGGGCTTCTGGTCTCTGGGGAATTTCTTTGCTTAAGAGCCCCACTGGCCACAGCCCCCATCCGGACGGAAATCCTTGACTCTCAGAACAGACACAAATCCCTCCTGGGAGCTGTTTGTTGTTTTTAGCTAGTTTGGGGGCTCAGCTCCTGCCCAGCCAAGAAAGATCATTAACACTCCAGGAATGCGGCCTCCCCTGCCCCCCAGCCCTACCACCTGGCCCTTAGGGCCTCCCTCCTCCTACTCAGGGGTGGTGGGAGGAGTCAGAAGGCTCTAGGAGGACAGCAGCAGTGGATGACCCTTTCCCAGGACCCAGGGATCTGGCCTCACCCATTCCCCTACAGCTGCTGCTGCTCCGGCCATCGCACCCATCCCCAGATGGGAATGTCACCACCATGTCCCTCAATCCTTTCCCCACAGGCCCACCCTTCCTGCAGTACCAGTCATCTCTCAGGGCAGGTGCTGGGAAGGGTCCCCTCCATCCCCCTTACCAAGGCTACTGTTAACAGCCTTGTCTAAGGCCAGAGCCTGCCTCCCTCAACCACAGCAAACCTGGGACTTGGTGTGGGCACATGGCCCAGCAGTTAACTTGCTGCTTGGGGCACCCTTATCCCACATCAGAGTACCTGGTTTGAGTCCTGGCTACTCCACCTCTACTAATAACTTCTACTAAAAGGCACCATGGAGCCAGCAGGTAATGGCCCAGGTACTTCGGTCCCTGCCACCCAGGGTGGGGGAGTTCCAGGCTCCTGGCTTTGGCCTGACCAGGCCCTGGCTGTTACAGGTATTTGGGGAATGAACCAGTGGATGGAAAAGCTCTCTCTCCCTTTCAAATAAAATTTTAAAAAATTAAAAAATTTTTCAAAGACTGCAGTGTTCCAACCCAGTTCCTGGGCTCTTTTGGACGGTGGAGAGTGGGAAAGGAGAGAGCGGAAAGGGAAAGGAGGGGGTGGGCAGGCGGTGGATAGCAGCACTTGTAAAGTCCCGGGAGGACGCGAGGGGCCACCTGGGAGGACGCGAGGGGCCACCTGGCCCTGCTGCTTCTCTGTAGGCAGGGCAGAGAGGCGGGGAGACCCGGGCCGAGCCGAGGGCAGCCTAGCCGAGGGCAGCTCAGTGTTGTTGAGAGCAGCGAGCAAGACCCTGCTTCCGACCCAGGACAGCTGGAGCCCTGGTGGCAGGAAGTGGGGCGTGGTCTCATCTGACTACAGGTGAGGGCAAGTCAGGGTGGGGAGGATGAGGCCCGGGCCTGCGTGGAGAGAGGGGAATAGACGCAGGACTACTCAACTCTCCGTGTTCCTGTGGCGGGTGTGGCAGAGCCGTGTCCGTGGGGACCCCAGGGCCCCACCTGGAGCAGCTGAGAAGAGGGCGGAGCGCAGATCTGCAGGAAGGGGCGTTCTGTTTACAGGCATGGTAGCCCACGAGACGTGGGCGGACGCTAGGGCGGGCATGCGCAGAGACAGGCAGACGCTGGGCTATGTCGACCTGCATGCGTGCCATCCTCTGAAGGAGAGAAGCCAATGGACCACGCCGGGGAGAACGTGTAGGTAAGAAGACCGGGGAGGGTCTGCTAGGGGCCCCGCCTGGGAGGCTTGGGATGAGATAGGAGGCCACCAAGGAAGCTCCGCCCCAGCAGTTGCCACCGGCTGAGCTGTCTTCCCAAAACTCACATGTTGAAGTCACAACCCCCAGTACCTCAGAGTGTGGCTGCATTTGGAGCCAGGTCCTTTAAAGAGATTACTAAGGGGCCAGTGTTTCGGCACCGTGTGTTAACTCACCGCGTGCTGGGGACGCCAGGATCCCATACCTGACTAGAACTGACTGGAACCCCAGCTACTCCACTTCGAACCCAGCTCCCTGCTAATTCACCTGGGAGAGCAGCAGAGGATACCCAAGTGCTTGGGCCCCTGCATCCACGCGGGAGACCCAGTTGGAGTTCCAGGCTCCTGGCTTCGGATTGGCCCAGCTCCAGCCCTTGTGGCCATTTGGGGAGTGAACCAGCAGATGGAAGATAAACTCTCTGTCTCTCTCAAATAAATTTTTCTTTTTTTTGACAGGCAGAGTGGACAGTGAGAGAGAGAGACAGAGAGAAAGGTCTTCCTTTGCTGTTGGTTCACCCTCCAATGGCCGCCACGGCCAGCGCACCGCGCCGATCCGAAGGCAGGAGCCAGGTGCTTATCCTGGTCTCCCATGGGGTGCAGGGCCCAAGCACTGCCCTCCCTGGCCACAGCAGAGAGCTTGCCTGGAAGAGGGGCAACCGGGACAGAATCTGGCGCCCCGACCGGGACTAGAACCCGGTGTGCCGGCGCTGCTAGGTGGAGGATTAGCCTGTTGAGTCGTGGCGCCGGCTTCTCAAATAAATTTTTCAAAAAGAAAGGAGAGCCTGTGTGCTCTGGGGCAGGTAGAATCTGGGGGCCAGGTCGGGGGCTCCTACTGGGTTAGGAGAGAAGGGTCTCAGATGGTAACAGGAGGCAGGGTAGAGGATGGGCTGGGTGCAAAAGCCCCCTGCACTCCATCCACCTGCTCTCTGCCTGGAGGCAGACTCCATATAGAGCTGCTGTCTGGCTTCCGCCCCTGGGAGCACCAGCAGGAAACTCGGAGGCGTGGAGGAGAGTGTGAGTTGGGTTTATCTGAAGATGGAGGTGAAGTTACAGGAGGAGAGGTGTGGGGGGACGGGTGGCCATCTGAGACCTCTCCTGTGGGGTGTGAGGGTGGATGTGGAGGGGTGCTAGCCCACACGCTCATCTAATGCCCGCATGGACTCAACTACAATGGGAGACGGAGAAATGGGTTCAAGCAGGCTCGCGTTGCTGTCCAGCAGGTGCACCACGGGCAAGTTGGCTGATGCAGGGGGAAGAGTGAGCGGGCAAGTGGGGAGCATTTGCAGTCTGATACAAAAGGACATCCGAATGTGGCGCTGAGGGAGGGACCACTTCTGGCCCTGGGAGTCCTGAGAGTAGGTGGGATGTTGGGTGGGCTGTCCCACAGCTGGTAGGCACAGTCTTTGACAAATGAGGGGGCCCGAGGGGGCTGGGAGCCACATACTTCACACCTGCAGCACGCATGCACACCCACAGCCATCCCTGCAGTTACATGCCTGCCCACAGCCTTCCCAGACGCTCCCGCACCCTCGCAGGCACTCACCCTCACACGCGCCCCAGACGGCAGATGGGGCGCTCGGGTAATTGGTTAGACCTGTTCCCCATGTCTGGCTCTGCCTTGGCAGCCCTGTCTGACAGGAAAGCTGGCGGGGTCTGCTTTCCCCTCCCCTCTCCACCCCCTGCACGCCTGCCCTGGGGCAGGGGCTCCAGGAGAGGCCTCTGGGCCCCTGCTGGCTCCTGCCTGGGCAGAGCCCAGTTCACCTGCAGCTCTCGCCCATTGGGATGCAATCACAGCACCTTTGGGGAGGAGGCAGCGCCAAGAAGCAGAGATGCTAACAGCACACTGGCCACGCTGCTCCAAGGCCCTGGGGAATGAGCATGGAACATTCTACGGATGAGAGGATGTGTATGTGCGAAGACCCACCCCTGAACTGACTTGGCTTTGAGAGCTCCGAGCTCCCTGGGCTGCCTGCCCTGGAGCCACTCGCTGTCCTCACAGGTGTTCTTGATTCCGCAGCCCATTTGAGCCTGCAGGGCCCGGGCACAGCCCAGTTGGGGGCGAGCAGCTGACCCTGGCTCGCTGCGGCCGGCCGGCCTGGAGTCTGGACACTGCTCCCGCGGAGGCCAGCAGCAGGCGGGATCCGCTCCGCTGCCCCCGGGGCAGGACACTGCTCTGCGGGTGGGAGGAGCCCTCGGGAGGGAAGGGAGAACAGTCCTCATCTTCTCCCCTTCTCGGCTGCATCTGCGTCTCTTCGAGAGAGACTTTGGTTTGTTCCCTGGAGAGGGCCCAAAAACTCCCAAATTAGCAAACCTGGCAAGCCCGCAGCTCAGAAAATAGTTCATCCTGATTCCATGTTTTTCAGGCTCACAGAAGCCTTTATTAATGAAGTCACAACACCAATATTTACCGTCTGCGGGGAGAGGCACAACATGGGGGATGGATGGGACTGCAGCAGGGACTCCCAAGCCCACCCCCTCTCGGGCCTGGCCCAGGAAGATTGGCAGGTTCCCTTGGGTCCCTTCCAGCACTTTCTCTGGATGCGAGGGGGTGCTCTGCTGTGGTCTTCCTGATCCCCTCCCCCACCAAGAGCGACAGCATCTTGGGGGGACCCTGCTCACCCTTCCTCTGCCCCAACAGGGGTCAAAGGATGCCTATTCTCACCTCAGTCTTCTGTGTGTGCACCTGCTCCCCAGAACATGAGTCACTGGGAGGTTTAACTTGGACGTATGCAGGTTAGGACTTCAAGATGTGTGGGTCAAATTCCTAGGTGACGACAGGGGTACAGGAGGCATTTGGGGGGCGGGAGACACAGCCCTTTGGTTTGTAGCACTGACTGGACGGGGCAGGAGGGTAGACAGAGTGGGACCTGGGTGTGTGCTCAGACACCTGCCTGTGGCCCTGGCAGCACCTGGGCCTTTAACACCTTTCCAATTAGTTCAGCATCAATTAAGCACCCATGGTGTGCTCACCTGACAGTCCAGGTGGGAGGAACAGCATAAGCGAAGGCACAGTGCAGGGGAAAACTGTGGATGCTCAGGGGTAGGGGTGCGTGGGACAAAAGCACAGGACACCAGGAGTCAGGCAGGAGAGGACCCGGGTGGGAAAGAAATGGGCAGAGAGGCTGAGGAGGGGGACATGGTCCTACCTGCATGTGAGGAAGAGAACCCTGGCTGCAGCATAGAGGGCTGGTGTGGGTGGGCACCAGTCTAGACAGGAACAGATGGGGTCAGAGAGAAAGGTCAGGGAAGACTCCAGCTGGAGAGACAGCATACGAGGCTACTGTTGTCGGCCCAGGTGAGTACCTGGTTGGGGGGGGGGGGGGCGGGGAGTGAGTCCCGCTGCAGGTGTGTTAGGTTTGAAGCACTGAGGGTGCCTCAGGTGGAAAACCTGATGGGTCTGCAGCTCAGCAGAGGTCAGCCAGAGACATGGACCAGGGAGCCAAGGCCCTGGGTGTGAACATGAACCCCCGAGCAGAAGGCATGAGCAGGAGGCGGCAGGAGCAAGGACTGAGCACAGGGTGGACAGAGGTGAGGCATGGGAGGGGCTGGGGGGAACTCAAAGACGCTGGAGAAGGGGTCACAGGTACTGAAATGAAGGGCAGGGGAGGGCATCACGGAGGGCATGGCCAGCAGACCAGGGAGCAGGTGAACCCAGGTGGGAGGCAGTCGGGTTTGGCCACAAGGGAGTGGCCAGTGGCTGGTGACCATGGGGGTAACTGTGGCATCCGCAGAGAGCAGAAGACTGGGAGGTGAAGCGGAGATGGATCTGGACGCCACACGGGAAAGGCTGTTGGGAACACAGGTTTGGCTTTTCCAGGATGAAGGGATCTTAAACATGACAAATGAGAAAGACAAATGGACAAACTGAAGGGATATGAACAAACAGCTCAGTGGGCCCTGCCTTATTGCGCTTTCCTGGGCTTGGGAGGCCCCGTCTCTGAAGCTGTAACCTGCCCAGGACTTGTCTGAAGACAGGTGAGCATCCTGGGGACAGCCTTTGTGACCAGCCCTCAAACTCCCTTCCTCTGGATTTTCCTCAATTGCAGAGGCCACAGAACGGCCTGGCCTGATTCCCACCCCTCAGGGGGTCTGGAAAGACCTGGAGCTGGCGCTGTCCCCTGTGTCTAGCCTCCAGTTCTCTGGCTGGGGAGCTGTAGATAGGGACCAGGGTCTGTCCCTAGCAAAGAGAGAAGATAATGGATTGACTGAATTCCAGCCCCCCATCCCCCCCGCCCCAGACTCCAAGCCTTGTACCCAGCTTGCTCTACCAACCCCCTGGGGGCCCCCAGAGTGGGAAACCACCGCTGTGGGTTCACAGGCTCTAGGGTTGGAGTGGATGCCCATGGCAATAAGAGAGAGACTTTTATTATTCCCATAGGGAAGGGAGGCACAGGGAAATCACTAGGAACTACAGCGGGCCTGGAAAATAAATTAAAACAGAAGCGCGTTGAAACAAAAAGGTCGAGAGGAACGGAGAGCCGCTGGGAGCTGCGGTGAGGGCGGCCCACCCGGGCAGGCAGGCTGGCTGGCAGGCTGGCAGGCTCTCCGTGGAGAAGGCCGAGTGGCCCCAGGCCTCAGCCAGCCCACTTCTTGTCCCCCTGTCCGTGGTGGCCCCAGGCGCCAAGCCTTGTGGGGCCGTGACTCGAGGCCTCCCCACAGCCTGGCCAGGGAGTGGCCGGAGTCCAGCTTGGGCCCCCCAGGGGCCTGGCCGGCAGCAAGCAGCACCCTGCCCTCGTGGGTTCATGGCAGACCCCTAGTCATTGGAGGTGACATCGATGTCCTCCCCGTTGGCCTGCTTCGTGGCGATGCGCCACCGGTTGATGTGGTGGGAGCCCTTCTTCTTCTGCTCCGACTCGGGCCCTTCCTCCTCCAGCTTCTGCCGTTTGTACTTGGTCCTCCGGTTCTGGAACCACACCTTCACCTGGGCCAGGGAGGGAGGGGCACCGGTGAGAACACCCTGAAGGCTCCCGAGCAGCCCCCGGGGCGCTCAGCACTTGAGCCAGGAGTCGTCAGGGACACTGAGGCTACACAGGGCCGGGGCTCCTGGGCCAGGGCCCTCTCTGCTGGCTGCCTTGCCAGATGCAGATTCCGCGGGGCAGGCAAAGCACACACGAGCCAGACGTGAAGGCAGCTCTCCGGTCCTGCTCCGAGGTCAGGAGGGGGCGTGGAGCTGCCAAACCTGTGGCCACAGCGAGGCAGCAGGGCAAGGAGCACAGGCTCTGCCCCATCCCTCGGCTTCTGGAAGGAGACGTGAGGATGGCGTCCTCCTGGCTGAAGGCACGAATGGTAAGCGAGAGAGGATGTGAGGAGCCATTGCATGGGCCCAGGGGGCTCAAGAGGGCCCCCAAGGCAGAAGGGACTTGGCTGGGTTACCGGGAGGCATTGTTCTCGCCGGGAGCAGAGGCCTACAGGGGCCGGACATGCTGCTGGAAGCTGCAACCTCACATGTTCTCTGTCCAGCCCCTCAGGGACCCTTGCTTAGCAACTGCACGTGGAACTGCAGGTGGAATTTCCCACACCAGAGAAGGGGCTGGCTGGGTGGAGCCCTGGTCCCTCGGGTGCCAGCTTCTCATGCCCCCTGGGGTATTCTGAAACCCACCGGTCAGCAGGACCCCACCCTCCTCACACACACAGGCCCGGGAAGGAGGCACAACTGCCACCCCACCTGTGCGACCCATCCAGGTGTGGGAGCAGGTGCCCCAGGAAGCAGCTGGAACACAGTGAGCATCCCCCCTCCTGCACAAGGCAGTGAGAGCCCTGGCAGAGGAGGGATGGGGCTCAAACTGAGAACTGAGACTGTGAGGTGGGAAGCAGGAAGGGGACGGGCAGGCAGCTCTATGATTCTAAGCCCACCTCTTCCAGGAAGCTTCCCCAGACTTGTCCCATCTCTCATTGTGCCCCTCTTCCCCCTCCTCTAGCAGTGCTGCTCAGTGCCCAGGACACAGCCTTCACCGTCCTCCTGTGCACGAGCTGGGAAGGCCACCCCCGCTCCCCAACTAGCCTCGTCGTCTGTGGACTGTGGACAGCCTCCCTCTGCAGCCTCCCACCAAGGTTCTTTGTGGGCCTTGCAGAGCCGGGCCAGGCAGGAGAAGCCTGGACGCTAAACCCTGGCTAAGTCCCACCCCTTCTGGGGCGTAAGACCCTCATCCTTGGGAGGAATGTTCTGAGGACCCTTGCAGCTCTGGGTGATTTGAGGAGAGTCTGGACAGTTTCTGGACATGCCCGCTCTCTATTCAGAACTGCAGCTGCTCGGGGCGGCCAAGCACCTCTGTCTGGCTGCAGCAGTGACTGCTGAGGGAGCCCTGGGTAGGGCTAAGGGCAGTTCTCAGAACAGCTGCCCAGTCCAGGCCCTGCTCCCTGAGACTGGGGGGAAAGCACAGTGGCAGTCTTAAAACCAGGCAGTGGGTAGCCCCAACTGGCCTGGCCTCCAGGCCCTGGGTCTCGTGCCCAGGTGTGCCCCCCCTCCCACGGAGCCCACACGCCAGGGCTCTCCCTCACAGTCCCCTTGCCAGGGTTTCCACGGCGCCATCTGCCCTGCCTTGACTTGAGAGGGTGGTGATGGGGCAGCTGGCAGAGGACAGGGAGGCTGTCCCTGGAGGAGAGGGTGCCAGTCTGGGCGGATGCAGTGACGGCAAGGGGCTTTCCCCCTCATTTCCAGGGTTGGGTTCAAACCTGTAGCCTGTGTGTCACCTTAGGTAGACAGGGGAAGGAGGCAGAGGCTGTGGGCACAGGGCTCATGGACTCCATGCCCGCCGGTCCTGTTCTCAGCACAGCCATCTGGCAGCCAGCCTGGCCCCCAGTCCCCGCCCCGAGCCTGCTGTGACTGTGCCAGCCAGTGGGCGGGTGAGCTCGCCCTGCCTCCTGGGTGTGACTCAGGGCTGGATGTGGGGCTGGGGCATCACTGCTGAGAAGCCCAGGTGGGCTGGCCGACGGTGGCCACCAGGTAATGGTGGGCAGCTCCAGGGACTGTGCCCCTTTCCACTCCTTTCTCCCTCCCACACAGCCTTCCTTCTGAGTTTCGTTTTAGGAAGGAGACTCCAGCAATCACACCAGCCTCTTGGGACAGCCCAGAGGCACGGAGAAGGATGACTTCCATGATGCAACTTCAGGCCAGCCCCAAGTGAAAGGTGACTGTCAAGATCTCCTCCATGAGAAACACTGGCATCGGGGCTGGCATTGTGGTGCTCTAGGTTATGACCCTGACACCCCATATTGGAGCATTGGTTCGAGTCCCGGCTGCTCCACTTCCTATCAAGCTCCCTACTAATGCGCCTGGGAAAGCAGAGGAAGATGGCCCAAGTGCTTGGGCCCCTGTAGCCATGTGGGAGACCCGGATGGAGCTCTGGGCTTCTGGCTTTGACCTGGTCATTGTGGCCATTTAGGGAGTGAACCAGCTGATGGAAGATAACTTTTTTTTTTTTTTTGACAGGCAGAGTGGACAGAGAGAGACAGAGAGAAAGGTCTTCCTTTTGCCGTTGGTTCACCCTCCAATGGCCGCCGTGGCCAGTGCGCTGCAGCCGGCGCATTGCGCTGATCTGATGGCAGGAGCCAGGTGCTTATCCTGGTCTCCCATGGGGTGCAGGGCCCAAGTACTTGGGCCATCCTCCACTGCACTCCCTGGCCACAGCAGAGAGATAACTCTCTCTTGTGCTTGGTCTCTCTGTCTCTCTCTCTTTATTTGACAGGTAGAGTTATAGACAGTGAGAGAGAGACAGAGAGAAAGGTCTTCCTTCCGTTGGTTCACTCCCCAAATGGCCACTACGGCCAGCGCTGCGCCTATCTGAAGCCAGGAGCCAGGTGCTTCCTCCTGGTCTCCCATGTGGGTACAGGGCCCAAGGACTTGGGCCATCCTCCACTGCCTTCCCGGCCACAGTAGAGAGCTGGACTGGAAGAGGATCAACTGGGACTAGAACCTGGCGCCCATATGGGATGCCGGCACCGCAGGTGGAAGATTAACCAAGTAAGCCACAGCGCTGGCCCGGTCACTGAACTCTTACTCTTTCAAATAACTGGTGCTTATTTTTTGCGTTTTTTTAAGCAAAGAAAAATCCTGAGGTCAGTGCAGCAGCTCTCTAGAAACAGACACCTAGAGCCCCTCCCAGGCAGCCTGGCTAGCTTCCGGGAAACAGCCTTGGACTGAGTGTCCAGATGCTGTTTACAAAGATAATAGCAGGGGGACGCTTATGCTACATGATATTAGTGGTAAAGCCAGCGCGCACAGTGTGATCACAACTGTGGAAAACGGAAACCTATGCGTAGGGGAAAAAAGACTGGAAGGAAATATACCCAAAGTAGAGGTGACTTTTCTTTTTTCTACTTCTCTGAATTTTCTTGGATGCTGATAACAACAGTGACCTTGTATCTGGATAAAGAAAAGGAACTGGAGTTTGAGTGTACTCAGAGGTCAGAGTGATGCCCCATCACCTCCCTAACCCAGCTGGGCAATTCTGGAGTCATCCCAGAGCCCCCTCCTAGAGGTCAGAGATCCAAGAAAGGAAGCAGCCGCACGGTGCAGCCTGCAGCTGCACAGGAGCAACCCCAACACCCTGCTCACTCCTCTCAACCCAGAAGGCACACTGGGCATCGTGGCTGGAGAACCCCCTTTCCCAACTTGGGCCCCTCTGGGTTTGGGGAGAGGTTCCTGTGGTCTCCTAAGACCCTACCTCTCTGAGCATCTCTGTTTCTTTTTATTAAAAAAAAAAGGATTTATTTTATTTATTTGAAAGACAGAGTCATGGAGAGACAGGGAGAAACAGAGGTCTTCCATCACCTGGTTCACTCCCCAAATGGCTGCAACATCCAGAGCTGGGCAAGGTCAAAGCCAGGGCCCAGAAGCTTCCTTTGGGTCTCCCACATGCAGAGGCCCAAGTACTTGGGCCATTATCTGCTGCTTTCCCAGGTGCATTAGCGGGGAGCTGGATCGGAAGTGGAGCAGTGCCCATGTGGGATGCTGGCATCACAGGCAGTGGCTCCACCCACAGGGCCACTGCACTGGCCCCCACATCTCATTTCATTGATGACCGGATCCGTCCAGGACTCTGCACTCACTCTTGCCTGAGTTTACCCAGCCTGGAATACGCTCTCGGACTTAACACCCTGCTTGAACATTCCTTGGGGGAGCTGCCCTGTCTCCTGTCCGTGCTTCCCTACTGGTACTTCATCTCATCTCCATCACAACAATCCAGAAGTGCACTCATTTATTTGCTCACACCTGTGTCTCCTCACCAGACTATTCGAATCTGGAGAACCAAAATGGTGTGGTACTCAGGTTTGGCATCCCAGTGCCCAGCCCAGAGGACCTGTTCCTTGGATGGTCATTCAGCTGGGCAGAGGTGAAGTGACCTAGCTCTAGGTAAGAGATGCCTTGGCTAGACCTAAAAACAGGATAAAATCGATAGAAAAGGGACCGAGGTCTGATCAGAAAAGGGGTTTGGGAGTGCTAAGTGCTAGAAAGATGGGAATTTTTTTTTTTTTTTGCTTAGTTTATTGGACATGCTTTGCAAGAGGGTCAGTTCTTAATTCTCCTCCACTTGTGGGGGCAGTTGGGGGAGGGAGACCTACTGTTGGGAGCAAGCAAGGGTGGGCTTGAGTCAGGCAGGATGAAGAAGTAAAGTTGAGGGCAGCCGTATGGTGCAGTGGTGAAGATGCGGCTTGGGACACCTGGATCCCATATCAGAGTGCCTGGTTCAAGTCCCCAGTCTGATTCCAGCCATGGCTAGGGCGCTCCCTGGGAGGCAGCAGGTGATGGATCAAGCAGTTGGGTCCCTGTCACCCACATGGGAGATGTGGATTGAATTACTGGCTCCTGGCTTTGGCCTGGACCATCTCTCAATGTTGCAAGCATTTGGGGAGCGGCCCAGCAGATGGAGGATATCTGTCTGCCTTTCAAATAAATAAAAATAAATAAAACTTGTTTTAAAAGGAAGGTGCAACTTCTGTGGATGAGTGAATAGGTGGATTTACTAGGGCACAGATGAATGTATGCAACTAATGAATGGAGGCATGCTTGTGTTATTACATAACTGAATGGACAAATGAACTAACAAGCAAACTACAGCCCCAGCCAATATTTCAGAGCTAATCAAATTTTATTTTTAAATAACATGGTGTTTTGGAAGAAGGAGATCTAGATCCTGTTTTTCACCTTTCTCTGGCTACCTTAGCTCATCACAAATGGAAGCATCTGTGGCTCAGGTCCCAGCAATTTCAGGTGAGTGACCTGTTCTGGAGTCCTGATATCTCTATCAAGGTCTTATTGGGGCTGACACTGTGGCATAGTGGGTAAAGCTGCTGCCTGTGGCACTGGTATCCCATATGGGCACCAGTTTGAGTCCTGGCTGCTCCACTTCTGATCCAGCTCCCTGCTAATGCACCTGGGAAAGCAGCAGATGATGGCACAAGTGCTTGGGCCCCTGCACCCATATGGGAGACCCGTAGAAGCTCCTGGCTCCTGGCTTCAGATTGGCCCAGCTCTGGCTATTGCAGCCATTTAAGGAGTGGACCAGTGGATGGAAGACTTTTCTCTCTGTCTCTCCCTCTCTCTGTAACTCTACCTCTCAAACAAACAAATAAAAAATCTTAAAAAAAAAATTCTTGCCTTCCTGACCTCCAACCTAGAATCCTATCCATCCTTCCAAGCCTTCAAGGTCTGTCCCTGCAAGGGGACTCCATCACTTCTCTTGTGTATGTCCCACAAGTGTGCGTGTTGTGCACTAAGTCTCCACCACTAAATGAGGAAACTCCAAGGCCAATCAATGGCCACATTTCTGCACCATTCCCTCCCCACCCCCACCCCCCAGCTCAGCTGAATTCACAGTCAGGCAATCAAGAAAAGCCTAATCAATCAAGAAAAGCTAATCTGTGCAGATTAGCCTGGAGCAACCAAATGCTTCCTCTCACTCCCCTTGAAGCCAAAGGACCCCCATACACATACACACACAGATGCACACTAGCTTTGTGCACTCCAGGGCCTGGGACTGCCTCAGGCATCTGATGTGGACCTATGACACCACCTGAGCTTTAGGCATCCATCACACTAAGCCTATGCCTGCCCCACGGTGTGGGCACACACAGTTACACATATAAAAACACACACACTTACTGCACTGAGAGCTCCGATCTGACCCAGGCCTGGGTCTCCCCAACCAGCCCTCAGCACTGAATGTTGAGTGGGTGTCTTCCTGATCAGACGCCAGGGCTGCACCACAGCTGTGAGTAACAACTAATCAGAACCAGGAGGGAAGACTGGCCCTTGCCCAAGGCCCTCCTCTCCACTTCCCGGATTGACCCGCTGGTCATCCCAGCACACATCCCCCACTCCACACTAAACGTAAGCCCTATTCCAGGCTTCCCACCTCCCAGCACTCCTGGAGTTTCGGATTAAGAACTCAACCACACATGGATCTGCTTAACCTTCCCAGGAGTATTCATCCACAAAGGGATGTCTGCATCATTTAAATAAACAACTAGTGAACATGCAAGGACAGATAGAATGAGGGGGACGGGAGGGGACAGTGACAGCAGAGAGCAAGGGGACTGACAGAGAAAGCATTCAGAATGTGTGTAGAATCGAGAGTCATGCTCATTCACTGGGTACCTGTTTATTGAGCATCTATTCCTGCTGGGCATTGAGCTGGGCCCGGCGGGAGACAGACAGGCTTGGTCTCTGCTTCTCCCGGCCAAGATGCTCAGCTCCATTCATCAGAACCACCCAGAGAGCTCTTTCAGAATTTCTTCCTGGGCCCCATCAAGCGAGTCTCCGAGGAAGGCTATGGATCTGTATTTGAAGGTCACCTTGCAAGATGAATGCAGCTGGCATTTAGACCTTACAAACTGCACAATGACAGCAAAGTTTGACCACACACGGTGATAGGTGGGGGGCACATGGTGCGTGCTGAGAACACAGAGGAGGGGTTATTCAGAAACAGAGAAGGAGACTGTAGGTGGGCCTGAGAGAGTCGGGGCTGGAGAGAAATCCTGCAGCTGACTTGGTCCAGTGGCACAAGGTACAGTAATGAGGCCCCAGAGAGAAGACAGAGCCCGAGCCAGCGGGACGATAGACGACCATGAGCAGACACGCAAACACCATGGCTGGTGCTAGATAGCTCTACAGAGATGCAAGTTCAAGATAGATAGTGGACACGCACAGTACGAAACAGATGACAAACAGGTGATCAACAGATGGGTGGATGGGAGTTACTGTGAGGAAGAAAAACATGTAGCAAACAGGAAATATAAATTAACCAGCCTGGGGGAATGGTTTAAGGAAAGCAGAGGAAGTAGAAGGCCAGATCTGAGACAGCTATGTGTGGAGGCCAGATTAGAGAGCTCTGAGAAGTAAGCACAGACACTGGCAGGAGAGACGCAGGGCAGGGGCTGGTGGAGGGAACTGACACTTGACAAACAGCTGATGGGGGACAGGTAAGCTCCTATGGCGAATGCCAAGAGGTAGATGGCGGTCACTGGTTAACTAACAGATTCAAGCAAGTCGCAAGGGCCACAGGAGACGGCTCTGGTGATGGAGAGGGAACATGGAGCCGAGGAGACACTCAGGTTTGGGCCTTCCTGTACACTAACTCTACCTCTCTACCTGTTAGTTTAAGCAAAGGGAAGAGAAGGGGCCTGGGGATGGGAATCAATATGTAAGTTTACATAAGGTGCCTCTAATCCCTAAACAACCTAATCCTGGATGAGGAAGGCAGAGTAGCCTGCCCAGGGTCACACAGGCAGTGGGCAGCGGGGCAGGGGCCTGAAATCAGGCCAGCTCTCCACCTCAGGGTGCTCTTTAGGGAAGACAGCAGCCGCAAGGCGCACCCCCGGGCTCACACCTCCCATAGTTCTCTATTTTTTGTTGCTGCTGCACATGCAAACGCAGCTCATTTAGAGATGGAGCAAGATCAGCCCCAAGTTTTCATGGTTAGCGAAGCTGGACTCAGTGCATCATTTAAATCTGTGCTTGAAGCATCTCATAAAAAAAGGGGAAAAAACCCAATCGCTGGATTTACTAACTGGCACTGGTGGCAGCCAATATTGACAGTTAGATTCAGTTTGAAAGAAAGTTCATTAACAATGCTCTCACTGAGATAAAAAACTGAAAGTTTAGAAACAATGACATTATTTCAACAAGAACTCATCTGTAGGTGGTGGGATTACAAACCATTCTGTTTTCTTTCACTTCTGTAATTAAAATTTAATAAATATTACTTTTTAAGCGAAGTTAATTATAAACACCACTCTTAAGTTGACACCTCGTCTCAAACAATAATTTTAAAACACTGCTTGCCAGGAAGGAGATGAGGGTGTTATTTTATTAGCTTAAGTTTAACACGGTTTTCTTTCAACGTTTTTTAAAATTAACTCTCTTGTGTGCTGCATGCTTTTCTTCTGCAGTTACAACAGCCCAGCTCCTGCGGTAGAGCTGGGCGCCATGAGCTGGGGGTTAAGTGGAACGGCCACGATCGACCAAAACCGGGACCACAGCACCAGAGGCGGGGCCGGCGGCCGGGGGTAGCTGGGGTCTAGACCCTCCCGCGAAGCCCCTTCTTATCCTAGCCGCCCACGGGAGGCCCCAGGCCGCTCCCCCCGGCCAGAGCCAGGCGCCTCTAGCCGTCTGGTGGTAGGGTCGAGACGAGAAGAGGACTGCAGGAGGATGCCCACGGGACCGCCAGCTCACCTCTCCCGTTGGAGAGAGGAGCTGGCGGAGGCGGGGAAGGCCCAGTCCTCCGGGCAGCAACCCGGCCGAGGCCGCTCGCCTGCTCGGCCGCTCCGCCTGCCCCATGCCCTGGCCCGGGAGGACCCAGCGCCCAGGCGGTGCTGGCGGGCAGCATTTGTGACTTGTGAACCGCAGCCCGTCCTCACCGTGAACCCAACCCTGCCTTCCTCTTCGCTCCCATCTAATTCTTTCAAAATATATATATATTTTTTTCACTTAAATTATCAGCTACAAAAATACTCTACGATAACTGCCATTTTATCCAGCTCGAATCCCTCCGTCAGCGAAGGTGCTTTTTCCTCCCCGGCCTTCACGGCCACTGAACGCGGTGCCCGGGTTCCCAGGGCCCACTGCCCGGTCACTGTCAGGCCCCTGAGGCCCGCGACGCGCACGCACCGGGGCTTCCGGAGCCCACGCAGCCCGCCTGCGCGGGAGCAGGGCCACGCTCGGAGCCCACGCGGGAGTGGCCCGCCGTGGCCGAGCCCCTCGGCTTCTGACGCTGCTAGCCCGGGATGCCAGGTCGTTCTCCCCACCAGCCGCACGCCCTGGCGGGCAGCCGCGAAGGCAATGCGGGGAAGGCCCGCTCATTCAGCGGCACGGGGAGCGCCCCAGGGCCGTGGCGAGGGAGGGACTGCAGAATCCCAGCACTGGGACCGGCTCCCTTGGACGCGGTGCTGCCCCCTGGTAGCCTGGCGCCCCCTCGGGGGGGCTTTGGGAGCCGGATTTCCAAGTGCGGATTTTTATTTACTCTGCCTCCGGCGGAGTCCCGACTGCAGCCTCTACAGCCTAACCGCCAGCGCAGAGAAGGGGCTCCAAAGACAGAAGTGGGCCAGCGCCGCCGTGGCGGCCTTTGGAACCAGGCGGAAGAGGACTCGGGGCCAGGCTAGGGGACGCGGGACCCGGCTGCACCCGCCCACCCGCCCGCCGCCCGCCGCGGCCTCCTCCACCCGCGCCCCAGGTGCCCTGCCGGGCGCAGGGCAGGCCGCAGCCGGGGCTGAGCGTTACCTGCGTCTCGGAGAGGCTGAGGCTGCCGGCCAGCTGCTTCCGCTCGGCGCCCACCACGTAGTGGTTCTTCTCGAAGGCGCGCTCCAGCCGCAGCAGCTGCGAGGGCGAGAAGGCCGTGCGGATCCGCTTGGGCTTGCGCGCGAAGGGGCCGTGCAGAAGCAGCCCGTCCTGGGGCACGTCGCTCGCTGCGGCCGCGCCGCCGACGGCAACACAAGCGGGTGCAGACAGAGAGAAGGGGCAGGGGCGCGTGAGCCGCCGGGGCGCCGGCCCAGCTCGCCCCCAGCCCCTCCGAGCGCTCCGCCACCCGCTTCAGTCCTTAACACCCGCACCCGACCTCTCCCCTTTCCCTCGCGCCGCCGAGGTCCTTCCCCCTCCCCAAGCCTCTCCGCCCTCGGAGGGCTGCCCTGGCTCGGGACGCGCGGAATCGCTGCTCTGCGGCAGGGCACTCGGGAACCCAGAGTGGACCTGGGGCCTAGTAAGCCCCGACCGGCCCCCAAACCCACACAGCCAAAGAGGCCAAGGGCTGGCAAGTGCCTCTTGCCTCCTTTCCCTCCCTTTTCCAGCGGCGCTGCCCCGACCCCCAGCCCCAACGATTTGCTCATAGATGTCCAAGCATCTCCCTGCAAGAACGGACAGGACTGGGTGTCAGGAAGGTGATGAGGGAGCCCCGTGAGACTGTGGTGCACACACGCCACACACAGATTCAGGAGCTAGAGGGTCTCCAAGCGCTCTCCCTTCACACTTGCTTAAACTAGTCTTGCAGCTAAACCCTCTTGCTACCAGCCCGCTGGAAACACCTGCCAACAGGCCCAGGCTTGACGGCCTGAGCCTCCAGGTCAACTCAGCAGGCAGCTTCTGGAGGCCTCCAGGGAGAGGACTCCTTCCCCTTCACCCTCTCTCCAGGGAAACCCCCAGCTCCAGGTAACTTAATGCTATCTGGTGCGGAAAGGCCCTGCCTCATCCCTGAATCCTGCATGAGTATTTAGATGTCATCGTTCTGATAGGTACAGATATATTGGTTTCTGCAGGGCCTGTGTACATAGGTGCTGCAGCCCCCTTCCCTCTTACTCGCCCATCTTCTGTGATGGATTTTAGAGCGGCGCGGCCCCTTGACAAATGCTGGCCATCCTGGGGACTCAGCTGCCACGCACAGGAGAAGGGACCAACACGGAACTGGATAGTGCTGGGGCTAGGGGTTAGGAGCGACAAAAGCCAAGCCACTGTCCTCGAAAACCCCTCAAGAGGCCCTCTCGCCATCTCTAGCCCAGTGGCTCAGGCTCACAGACTCAAACAAGCCCAGACAACACCACCTAGTCCCTGACCCACCCACAACACACAGCCCTGGTGGAATGTTTCCACTGATGAGATTGATCCAGTTCATTCATTCCACAATGGCCACTGGCTTGACTCAATCTGACCTGTTGTTTTGCTCTGAAGACAATTATCTGGATAATTCAGGTGCCATCTCCCATCCCTGGAAACTTCAATGTAAGTGAAGCAGAGGCACCCGATTGAGAAACTGTTGTAAAAACTCCCCAGGTACCTGCTCCTCTGCTGGTGGGGACTGCCTAACCTTGGCCTTCTCCAAGACCCCTGGGCTTGGGATACCCACACAGGCTGATTGCATCACTGGGGTTTTCTGTGGAACAGGGTTGCCCATACTGAAAGGCCTACAGCCTCTGTGAGAGGAAGGCGGCGGCGGGGGGGGGGGGGGGGGGGGGGGGGTGGGTGTCCAGCCAGTGTCACTGCCCTCAAAGAACCTTATCCATTTCACGTGGTTGGACCTATGCTACTAGCAAAGGGGAGGGCACTGAGTCACGGGTGCTGGACGAGGGACACCTGAGCCTCACAAGTTTAACTTGGGGTGGTGGAGAGGACAGAGAATGAGGGAAAGTGGCCTGGCAGAGAGAGGGAAGAGGCAGAAAAAGCCCCATGAGGGGGACGAACGTCTCTGGGGTGGGGACCCGTTTGACAGGCCAGGGGAAGGTGTTGGAGCTGAGTGGGGAGCAGACGCTTCTTGTGGGTGTTAACAATGGATTGCCTCAAAAATCACCATTTTTCTGAGCCCTGGTGAAGTCCCAACAGCGGTGTCCTCTGGACAAATGAACCAGCGAGGGAGGGAGAGCGCCTAGCACAGCCCAGCATCCCCTCTGGGCATGTGTCACCTGTATGGTGGAGTGGAGTGCTCTGTGTTTGTCTTTAAAAATTCAGGCTGGCTGGAAGATAGAAGTCCCTTTGCCTCCAGTCTGGAGGGTTTAGGGGACAGCCAGGTTGCTTGGGCTCTACCCCACTGAGGCAGGCCCCAGTTCGTTGTAAATATCCTGTCGTTGGGGGCAGCATGTGTCCCACACTCTGTGTCCACATGCACCTGCAGAAACAGGGTTCCTGCTAACTCAGGCACGAAGCTGCAGCGGGAGGATGGACAATTATTCAAGATGCTGATACGTGATGACAGGCTATTTCATTCAAAAAAAAAAAAAAAACAGCAGAGCTTTCTCTGTAGGAAAAAGGATTGCTTAGTACAAAACTAAGCATCTTGAGGCAGTGATCAGTTGCTAGGTGTCAGTAGGGACAAGAGTGGAGTGTGGGGGGGCCTAGGCACCTGGGCCCCTCTCCCTGTGATCTGTGGGACGTGGTCCCTCCCTTCCTATCACGACTTTAGTGTCCTTGAACAGGAGCACAGGGCACAGTAAGCTTAGGCCTGGGGTGCTGCCTGTTTGAATACAGTACTTGCCGGCTATGAGAAGGGGCTGTGAGTGCTGGCCAAGCACAGGTGGAAAAGTGGAAGAGAACTGGCACAGCCTTCCCTGGAGCTAGGAACTGACTCCCATCCCACTGTTCTCTCTGTGGGATGGCCTGAGGTGGGAACGGGAATCCAAAGTGCTCAGGGCTTGAGCTGCAGTTCCTGCTGGAGAGGAGCTGGCCAGGAGCTTGAGGCTGGATGGCAGGGCGGAGGGCGCTGGGGCTAGGACACAGAGAAGCAGCCCAAGCAGCTGAGATAACCATTCCCTTTCCTCCTGCAGGAACAAAAGCCCCCTTTGAAGACCGGCCCAGTTACCATCACAGGTCAGGAGGGCTGGTCTCCCACAGCCCCCACCCAACACTGCTCCCCTGCCAGGAAAGTTCCCGAGCTCCAGGAAACTGCACCGAAATGCGGGCCTCTCGAGCAGCCCGGGGCTTCGGAGGCTTGGCCGTTCCACACTCGCTGTTCCTCCTCCCGAGCCTGGCACATTCGAGAAGCCGCTTCCCCGCGCTCTGGACTGCACTGCCCACAAGCGCGGCGCACAGAACTCAGACATGTTCCTTTTCGTTCCTGTAGGGTTTCGTTTCTTGCATTAAAACCGGGCTGAAATGAGCATCGCAGAGACCCGGTTCTCTAGAAAACGCGGCGCCGGAGGGCCCGGGACGGCTCGGTTCCCAGCGTTGAGGCCGGGCGGGGACCAAGGGTGCACAGCCGCCCGGGAGCGGATCTGTCTGCCGTGGTGACGGTGGGTCCCAACCACGGCGGAGACACCGAAAACATCCTCCAGTTCCCGACAGGTTTCCGAGTTCAAAAATGCGGCTACACCAGACGCAGGGTTCTTGAGAAGAAATCCAACCGTTTGTGCAACTCCACCGCGTACTCGTTGGAACTGGTGGCTCACGGAGCAGCAGCAGTTTCTTAGAGGGTTTTTGCGGAGAATGGGTCTGGCCTCGCCTAGCTGGGGATGCTCTGAGCCAGAGCTGGAACCCTTGCCTGGCGCTCCCAGCTCTTGAGCCGCGAGCCCGCGCAGGGGAGGCTGGAGGCGCGACAGGCGGCGCCGCACGAAAGGCACGGGGTTCCGGATCCGAGGCGCGGGGCGCCGCCTGGGAGGCCACCTCCGGACCAGAGTAGCTGCTGGAAGCCACAGGGCTGAGGCCCCGCCTCACCTTGCCCTTGGTGCCTCTGTCTCCCCGGTGGTTCCCTACCCACCGGACGGCGGGACTCACACACCGCGCGGAGACTACAAGTGTGCCAGTGGGTTTCAGGCTGCAAGACCTAGGCTGTGGCTGAAGCTCCCGCGCTATCCGGGCAGTTAGCAGAATTCTGAACCAAATCGCATTTTATTGGCAAACAATAATTTGTAAGTGACAGGAACTTTTGCCTAAAGTGGCTGAGGCGTTAGGATTTGTGATTGTTTTTGCTTTAATTCGGATTTGGGCAAATCTCAATATCCAAGAGAAGACTTTGCTCACAAAAATTCTTGTTCATTCAAGTTATTGTAGTCTTGGCTTTGGTGGGATCCGCTGGGCAACTATCTACTGACAAGGTGGGACTGAGAAAATCGTTTGATAAATCAGGACAGGCAGAGGACTTCTGTAAACCAGTCAAGCAGCTACAGCCAAAGATTCAATAGATCACTTTTCTTTGATTATCTAAGTAATTGTACCCCCCATCTAATTTACTTTGGCAGTGTGGACCTGGCTTGCTCAGATCGGCTGTGAGAGCCGAAGCCCAACCTTGTCCCTTTTTCAGTTGTTTCACAGAAAAACAGGGTTAGCCAGTTCTGAGCGGTGAGGAATCACAGGGCTGGGGTCCCGTCTACACTGACAAAATAAAACTGGGAACCGAAGCAATTACTGCACAGATCAAGGCCGGTCTTAAGAAAGAAAGAAAGAAAAACAAACTCCAACAAATTCAAGGAAGAAAACGAACTCCAACAAATCCAACTGTCTTTTCTTTTCGAAAGTCAGATAATTGGGGTGTGTGTGTGGGTTAGGCCAGTGGGGGATCTTAATTAGTCAGCCAGCGGCGGCCGGGTACAGACCTGGGGACTAGGGCTGGCTACGACTTTAAAAGCAAGCCCTGGGGCCCCCTCCCCCTGCTCTGGAGGACTCGGGTCGGTCCCGGCAGCCGAGCAGGCGGTGCAGGAAGCCAGTTTGCTCACAGCAAACCTTGCCCACCCCGGGCCTCAGAGGCACGTGTGACTTGGAGAAGTCGGGCCAGGGTTGCTGAGAAACATCCCGAGCCAGCGCAACACCCCACACTGAACATTAACTCTCCAGGTGCCCTCCCCGCTGCCCCCGCATCTCACAGAGCCCGGGCGCGCGGGTGGACTTTCCCCTGCCCCGACGCGCCAGCGAGGTCTGAGCCGTGCGCGTTGGTGTCGGCCGAGCGAGCGTAGTACGGTTCCGGCTCAGGCCAGCGCCGAGGGAAGGCGGCGGGAGCTGCGCTCTCGGGGTTGGGACTGGTTCATTAGCTAGAGAGAGGCAGGCAGGCCGCGGGAGGGCCCGAAGAGGCTCGCAGGATGCGCCTGGGCTGGGCGTCCAGACTGGTCTCTTTCGTGGGAAAGCCTGGAGGTCGCCACCTGGCTCTCCGCCTGGGACCAACGAGGCAGAGGAGCGCGCGGGCGGATCCGGCGGGGCTTTTTCCCGGTTTGGGAATCGACCTCGGCGGACCTGCTACCTTCTCCGCAACAACTTCTGAACAGCCCCCGCGCGCCCCCGAGCCTCCCTCGCGTCCCCGTGGCACGGGCGCCGGCCAGCCTCCTCGGCGGGCACAGCGTGGGCACTCACCCTGGAAGCGGTGGCCGAAGAAGCGGTTCCGCAGGACCCAGGGGTAGAAGTGGAGAGGGTCCCGGTGCTGGGCGCCGAAGAAGGAGTGCGGGGGTTGCAGCGGGGAGGCGCCCAGCTGGTGTGCTGGGTGCACGGTCAGCGCGGGGTGGTTCATGGCTTCGGGGAACACGAGCTCCGGCCCTCCGTAGAGCGAGCGGCCAGCACCCGCGGCAGCTGCGGCGGGGAAGCCGCTCACGAAGGCCGCCTCGGCCGCGCTGGGGTGAGGGTAATTGAGCGCCGTGGGCCGGAGCGGTTCCTCCGAGGCGGCTGCCGCCAAGGGATGGGAGCCCGCGCCCCCGCCACCAGTGCCGCCGCCAGTGCCACCGTCCTTGGCCACCAAGGACTCGATAGTAAAGCCGCGCTTGGCCGCGGGCTGGAACATGGTCGCGGGCTCCGGAGCCGTGCGAGGCGGCCGGGCTCCGGGGAGCGCTCCGCGTCCTGGCGCTGCCGCCGTGCGGGGTGTGCACCCAGCCAGGCACATGCACACACACCCGCACCCGTCACCTCCCCCGCCCGCCCGCTCGCGCTCGGCCCCCGCCTGCGAGCCGGGCGCCGAGCGGCCAAGGGTGTGCGAGCGAGCGAGCGAGCGCGCGCGGAGTGGGGCCACCGCGCACGGCCGGGAGCGTCGGCCCCTGCGGCCGAGCGGGCAGCTCCCAGAGCCGGCACTGGCGCGGGTTCGCTGCGGTGCCTCGAGCTGCCTCTCTGACCGGAGGGCTGAGCCCAGCTCCCTCCCTTCCAAGTCGCGCCGGGACCGACCCCCGCCCTCGGTCCTTCCAGCACTGCCCTACGGGGCCTCGGCCGCCTCGCAGCGAGGCGCGAGTTAGCCGGCACCTGCCCGGCACTCGCCCATTGGCCGCCGCTCACCTGCCCCAAGGTGGGGGGCGGGGCGGGGCGGGGCGAGGGACCGCGGGTGGGGAGGGAGCCCGCAGTCGGAGGCAAAAGCCGGACTGGAACCTTGGCGGGGCGGTCCAGCTGCCGCCCCCTACTCCCACCCCGGCCCCTGGCCCCGCCACTGGCTGCTGGGGACTCCGCCCTTCGGGGGAGTCTGGCTGCCTCCCCAGCCGTCTGGGTCGCCGTGGAGCCCAAGAATGCGCTCAAAGGCCCTGGGGCTTGGGGGTGATACTACACACACACACACACACACACGCACAGGCACACGCACCCACACAGCCCTCCCCGGCGTGTAACTGAGTTGAACCTTCCCCAGGTCGCCTCGAGACGTCGTCTCAGAGAACTCGGATGCGAACGTCGCGGGGGTGTTTGGGGTCCAACAGAGCGCTCTGCCGGAGACCCCGCTCCCTGCTCTCTGACCTCCAGACCCTCCCGCTCACCACCAGCGCTGTCCGGAGCCGCCGTGCGAAGCCGTGGCCCTGCTCCCGAGGTTTCTCGTTTCTTGGATGTCACGGGGACAGCTCCGGAAAGGAGGACGTGCGTCTTCTTCCGAGCGTGCTGGCAGGGAGCAGCACCCGGGCCGTCGCCCCGCAGCCCTCCGGCGGCGGCAGAGCCTTTCCCCAGCCTCGGCGCGGCGGCGCGCTCAGACTCGGACTCCGGGCCTCAGCTCGCGGGGCTCTGCCTTCCTCGCCTTCTCTGGCTGTGGGACTCAAGTGTTCGCCGGTCGAACCAGGCTGGGGTCTCGGGGACATTGTGTCTTAAATTGGAGCTGGCAAAGCAGCCTGCGCCGGCGCCCGGGAGGTCCCGAAACGCAGCAGCAGCCTGGCCTCTCCGACCTTCGCCGTCCACCCGCGGCCGCGGAGCAGTGGCCAAGTGCGCTCCGGCCGGCTTCCACGCGGTGCGCTGATTCCCCGGGGAGAAAAGGGAGGTAGACTGCGAGAACCAGAACGCCGCAAACTTTTCCACCCGGGCCTTCCCCGCCGCAAGGAAACACCTCGCCGAGGCCTAGGAGGGCGCTGGGCGGTCGTGGGGAGACTGGGACCCGGACCTTGCCGGGGCGCCGCGGGGAGGGGACCACAGCGAGTTCCGCTGTCCTGCCGCTGCCGGGGTCAACCAGAGTGGCCGGAGCACTGCCCGGGCGCCGCGTAACTCTGCGGGGACTCCAGGCCGGGTCTTGGCAGCGATCGGCCTGAGCGCCGAGAGACTTGGTCCGGGAGAGCGCTCCGGGCGCCCTTGCAGCCACAAAGCAGGTTAAAGTCTATTTTCCACTCGACTGCCCCGAAAAGCCCCCGCGCGCCGACGCCGCCGTTCCGGCCCCCTTGGGCGAAGTGGAAGGGGGCGACGAGAGGAGGGGGCGGCAGGGAGGCCGCACCCTGCAGCCCTTAGCGTCCAGGGCAACCCGAGGCCGGGCACCGCGGAGGCGCCCCTTGAAATGCCTTCGAAAGGAATTTTTACCGAATCCGCGGGGAGCGCTCGCGTCTCCTTCACTGGCCTCTCCGGATCATTTCCGGATGTGATCGAATTGCCTCCTCTCGATTTTGTCTTAAGCTGTCTATACCACCCCCGACTCCCTGCGCCCCCCCATTCCCTTATCTTTTGCCCACCCCTTAGTCTTTGAAAAGGAGGCGCGCGGCCGGGAGAAGGACCCCACTGGGCCACACCACTATAGGGGCGAGGCTGTGGAGCTAGGCAGAAGCGCCAGCCGCGGAACCAAGAGCCTGGGAGGTGACCGGGTTCTGCGCGCGCGAGGTCCCCGCACTCACGCGAGTTCGGGTTAGATAAACAGGGCCCGGGCCTGTGCTCTGCTGCGACAGACCTAGTGCTGGGCGCTGCGCCTGAGAAATCAGTAGCCCTGGAAAGTTGAACTGGCCCCGGGGCCTCGTGCCCTAGCCCAGAGGCAGTCTCCGCCTTCTCCCGGCACCGAGGGGCTGCCCAGGGCCGCGGACTGGCTGAACTGGGCGGGTTCCGGAGTTTGGCATCTACCCGACCATTCCCTAGACTTCTGCCTGCCCTGGCCACGTCTGTTTTCCTACGTACTGCTCTGGGTGCACGTGTCCGTATCCAAATCCATAGACTTTTATAATAACACCTTCTCTGCGGTGCTTTCCAAAGACACCCAGCTGTCTGTAATTAACTCCGTTTTACTCCGACTGCAGAGAATCTGCTAGATCGCGTTGGGGGGTGAGCAGGGACAACCCAGGGGTCCTGGCCTACCGGGTTCCACCTCCATGGGACCAGCCCAGCTCCCGCTCATCCCCAGCAATGAGGATGGGATGCGGGGGTTCCCTAGGTGCCGGGAGATTCCCTACCCCAAAGCCTCCCCCCCCCCTTAAAATATTTATTTGTATATATTTGGAAGAGTGATGGAGAGAGGGAGAGACTGAGACAGTGAGAAATTTCCAATCTGCTGGTTCACTCCCCAAATGGCAGCATTGGCTAGGGCCAGGCCAAAGTCAAGAGCCTGGCGCTCCAGCCTTCACCCCTTCCCAGGTGCATTAGCAGGGAGCTGGATGGGGACTGGAAGTGGCTCTTTGATACAGATGCTGGCTTCACAGGCTGCAGCTTAACCTGCCTTGCCACAACACAGCCTTCCTCCCCTGTAATCCCCTGACGTCCTTCTTCTCTTCCCTTACTCTGCAGATATTTACCCTTTGCCTGTTGTCCTCTATCTCTGCCCCGTGAGGACCTCTTCCCTCTGGTGGACTCCCCCGCAGCAGGTTGAGTTGTCACCCCAGGGGATCACTAAACCCGCTAGTGCTAGTGCTGGGGACTCCGCCTTAGTGCTCCATCCATCACCATCTCTTCCTGTGCTGTCTCGGGCTGCTCTGTCTCTCAGCCTCTCACACTTCTCCCTCCAGCACCACCCCCACTGCTGATCCTCTTCTCCTTATTTGCCTCAGCCGCCCACCCTAACCAAATCCTGCTGCCCTCTCCTCTGCCTTTCGTCCCGTCCCTCTATTTCTCTCTTCCCACGCAAGCTGCTGAGCTCTTCCCTGGGGGCTGCAGACTGATAACGCCTTTCTCCCTACTTCCCACGCCTGCTCACCCTTGGTTCCACACCTTTGCAGCCCCCTCCCCGATCTGCGCAGTCCAGGGCTTGTTTCACTTGCTGTGCAGGAGCGTGGTGCCTACAACCTGCATCAGCCATCCTGGCTCTGGCCTCACCTCGTGTTTCTTCTATCTCTGGAATGACCTGGGCTCAAAGCCTGACTCATCCCGTTACTAGTGGTGAGACCTGGGGTCGATAATCTTGCCTTGATTGAACATCTGCCAATGTGAGGACTGAAAGAGATACCTATTTACATATTTAAAATATGTGCATTTTATTTGAAGGGCACACACACACATGCACACAGACGATCTTTGGAGTTCTTGGTACAAGATCCCCAGCCATCTCTGTCAGCCTTTCTCCCCTCTTTCCTCATTGCCCTACCTTGTCTCCCCAAGCTGCAGGAAACTCTTGGTCCTTACATTTCCCTCAGTCTCTTGGCTTTTCTTTTTTGCCACCAAATTTCTTGAATAATTTGTGGCCTCTCTTTCTCTCTTTAACTCTCACTTCCTGTAACAAAATAAACCTTTCTTTTCTTTTCTTTTCTTTTTTGACAGGTAGAGTTAGACAGTGAGAAAGAGAGAGACAGAGAAAGATCTTCCTTCCGTTGGTTCACCCCCAAAATGGCCACCATGGCCGGAGCTACGCTGATCTGAAGCCAGGAGCCAGGTGCTTCTCCTGGTCTCCTACGCAGGTGCAGGGGCCCAAGGACTTGGGCCATCCTCCACTGCCTTCCTGGGCCACAGCAGAGAGCTGGCCTGGAAGAGGGGGGACTAGGACAGAATCCGGTGCCCCAACTGGGACTAGAACCCATGGTGCCGGCGTCGCAGGCGGAGGATTAGCCTAGTGAGCTGAGGTGCCGGCCGTAAGTCACTATTATTATTTTCCAGAATTGCACTGTCCAGTACGTCAGCCATGAGACACATGTGGTTATTGGGCACTTGAAATGGGGATAGCTCACATTGAGATGTTCTGTGAATGCAAATACATATCACACTTAGTGTTAAGCAGGCTTGGTTCACTCCCCAGATGGTTGCAACTACGAGGGCCAGGCCAGGCTGAAGCCAAGAGCCAGGAGTTTCATTTAGGTCTCCCACATGGGTGTCAGGGGCCCACATATTTGGCCATCTTCCACTGCCTTCCCGGGCCATTAGCAGGGAGCTAGATCAAAAGTTGAGGAGCTGGGACTTGAATCAGCACCCATATGGGATGTTGGCATTGCAGGCAGCAGCTTTACCTGCTATACCACAGTGCTGGCCCCAGATTGGTGTTTTAAATAAAGTAAAATATCTTACAATATTTCCTATTTGACTACATGTTGTGATTGTTATATAATATTATTAAGATTCATTTTTATCTGTTTTTTTCTCTTTAAAATTTTTAAAAATATTTTTATTTGAAAGGCAGAGAAAGAGACAGAAAACACATTCCTTCCATTCAGTGACACATTGCCCAAATGCCCACAATAGCACAGGCCAAAATTGGGAGCCAGGAACTCAATCCAAGTCTCCCACAAGGGTCGGGGCCCAACCTCCTGAGCCGTTACACTGCCTCCCAGTGTCTCACTGGCAGGAAGCTGGAGTCAGGAGCCAGAATTGAGTATGGAACACAGGGACTCCTTTGTGGGCCAAGGGCATCTTATCAGCTAGCTTAACCCTTAGGTCAAATGTTTGCCCCATTTTTTTCCTTTTGTCATGCAGCTACTAGAACATTTGAAGTTATATATGTGTCTCACATTATATTTCTAATGGATGGAATTATCAAAGAAAACACAGAAGCCTGCGCTGCGGCTCACTAGGCTAATCCTCTGCCTGCGACACCGGCACACCGGGTTCTAGTCCCAGTTGGGGCGACGGATTCTGTCCTGGTTGCCCCTCTTCCAGGCCAGCTCTCTGCTGTGGCCAGGGAGTACAGTGGAGGATGGCCCAAGTCCTTGGGCCCTGCACCCCATGGGAGACCAGAAGTACCTGGCTCCTGGCTTCGGATCAGCGCGGTGCGCTGGCCGCAGTGCACCAGCCACGGTGGCCATTGGAGGGTGAACCAACTGCAAAAACGAAGACCTTTCTCTCTGTCTCTCTCTCTCACTGTCCACTCTGCCTGTCAAAAAAAAAAAAAAAAAAAAAAAAAAAGACACAGAGACTGCAAAGGAGGGGGAGGAAAGACAAGACAGATATCTTATAATTATCACATGCTAGTGTCAGAAACAACCATCATGAAATCCTTAGAGTGTATCCTTCCAGATCTTTGTGTGTGCACATCCCTTTAGAAAAATGGGATCATACCGTACAGAGTTTTGTCACCAACTTTTTTATCTTTATAAGCAGTCATAATCACCCTTACCTCTCATTAAATATTCTCTAGTATAGGACATTTATGCTGTTTGTATGTCTTCATATGTTGTTTGTATGTTTCGTATGTAATATGTTAGTTCTTTAGGTCCACAGCATCAGGTTGGCCTCTGATCTGTTTATTCTCCCACATACAGATTTGGAAGCTTTCTCTTCATCCTCTGAAGTGTTTCTCACGTCCAAATCTCCAAATTTGAGGTTTTCTTGGCCACCATTACCTGTGGGCTCATCAGCATTTGAGAACCTTCGAGTCCCTTCCCTTTTGAAAACTCGTTTCCCTTCATTTTCCACACGAGGTGCTAGTCTGGATCTATCACCTCGGGGAGTTGCCCCTCACGGGCTCCACTTTCTTCTTACTGTAGGCTTCCATGAAGGCTTCCTTGTCCTGAGCCCTCCCCTCGTTCCACTTATTCTCTCTCTCTCTCTCTCTCTCTGCCTATCATAATCTCCCAGGGCTGCCATTAATTCCTTGTTGAAAAATCCCGATGGATTTCTAAAGCAATGCTGTATTTTCCCCCAGACCAAGTCAGTATCTTTTAAATGTTAGGAGTGCTTTCCTCGTGGCTCTGCAGGCTCTGTAGACACTGCACCCCAAAACTGAGCTCCACGTCTCCCAAGGCCGTGTCTCTCCTGCAAATGGCCATGCGTTCCTGCAGCGCCATGAGGCGTCTGTGACAGCTCCTTCCTCGCGGGCAACCCCTGCCCATGCACTGGGTCTTTGCATCCTATTCTGACCTGGCATTCCTCTGGCTCTTGCCTGCTGGAGGCTCTTGCTACCTTTAATCCAGTGGCTTTCTTGTGATTTCAAGTCTTAGTCTCTCCTCTCTACAATTCATCTTACACACCACCACCAGATTTCTATACCACAATTCTACCCTCTTAAAGTTTAGTCACACAACTGTAAAACCCAGGGCAGTTCCTTTGCCTTTGCTGTAACTCCATTTTCACCTGCAAATGGAAATAATAAGATCTACTTTTGAGAGTTGTTGAGAGAGTTACAGTAAGGTAACACATGGTAAGCACTCAATAAACGGAAACAACTTGTCATTATTTCCAGTAGAGTTTGGACACTTTACCTTGGCATTTGCCATACTCCATGAGTGA